ATACTTGAATGCATCACATTTTATGTGATTTATGTACAATCAGATTTATACAACATCAACTAAGTGGTCATTAATATCAATCAATCGATAATTTACACAATCATTATAGATATACAATATCATAGAATTAACTGTCAATGACCAACAGATAAAACTAATATTATTACTCCTGAAAACGTGATTGCTCGCCATATCCGTAAAGATCTCAAGAATTTTACGTGAATAGTTCAAATGTTTCATTTGACTGACTGGCCTCATCATCTTCAGGAAAATAGTTGGTGAAGACAACTTCGATCTAAAAACTCTGCACTAGTACAGCATATTTGGTGGAACTCGGATCAGTCTTTCAGGCGATACATTGGAACTATTGATGTTCAGTGGCTGAGATCTCTATACACATAAGGTTATGCTAAATGTCCTGATATAAATGGACGTCCAATGCGTGTGAAACTGTTCGTCCAAATCTTGATAGTCTCGTAAAAGATCGAATGTGAATATATATTTTTGACTGACGATTTTCTGTCTGTAAGATAATAATGATAATATCAAGAAGGAAATAACTTGAGGTCCGTGTTCCAGAGAAATATGGGGAATGAAAACAAAAATAGTCGGAACAGACAATTTCGAAAGGTGATTATCAAGTGAGTATTCACTTTAAAAATAGATATAAAACAGAATAGTGAGTAGGAATAGGTTTATATTGTCATTAGGACAGATGTTGTTTACAAAACGTTGTGGCAAACAGACTGTTTTTCAAGGCTTCATACCTCTTTCTATACTTACTGGTTAAAACTTCTCTTTGCATTTATTCCCAAGCATCCTAACTACATTCAGCTTTGAATGACTTATTTCGATATATTCATGCCTTTAAGTACGTTTTCTAACGGTAATTCAATCCGTTCCCATATCGAACTCAAGGGAATATCGCAAAAGGTCTGAACTGATTTCGAGATATTATGACATTGTACAGGTAGGTGAGGGAACTATCTAGCACCGAAAATTATATGAACTTGATGCATCTCCAGGTTCCTTATACGGCTGTTTTGATATTGCAAACAGTCACGTGATATGAAGCTTTTACTGCTAGATAGAAATATACCTACCATGAAACACCAGAAAATACCTGTAAAATAACTTCACTACATAGTAACCGAGGGTCAGTTTAACAGTCGATCGCATTAAAATAACGAGTGGTAGTGTAAACAGTAATTCTGGATGGTTTATACTAACACATGGAATCGGTGTAACACATTGAGTACTTCCCAGTTAATCAGAAAACTGCACGAACTGATATTTATCAGGACTCATTATTACCCTACGCTTGTACAGTCACATTGGTGAAAACTAATCTTATTGACACATCCACATATTTCGCTAAGTAACTTGTACATATCTTTATGTGTTTCCAACTTGTTTAATCCTTCACTTCTATCACTCCAGGAAACTGCCAAACTTAATAATACTTGTTATTCTCAATTCACTAATTGTTTCATAAACTTATTGTGATCACCTGATTGTAGAATTAGAAATAAACACGATATCGAAAGGTTAGGTAGCTTCGCTGCTTGTAGTGAACAATGCAAGATGTATTTGATAGTCGTCAGAGTGATTAAGCCAAATTCATTGTAAGCAGATTAAATGGTTGTGAAATAGACTGGAGGCTTCACTATCAGTGCACGAAGCTCCTTAAATTTGTGTGACTGAATATGTTCTACAATCAAATACCGCCATTCGCAACAATCAAGTTAACACGAAACAAAATTCCATATGTTATACTTGGTTTGAAAAGTAGATTTACAACGTAAAAACTTGCAAAATGTTGGTAGGTTAATTAAACATAAAGGTTTTAGAATTTTGCACACATTCAACATTCCGTAGTTAACTAATGTAGTACTTGCCTATACTTTTTCTCTTCCTTTAGTCAGCACATAAAACCAAAGTTTGTTTAAACATATATACCCTTTAAATCGTACTGTGGAGGCAGAATACTTTTATCCATCAATGATTTGTAAACGAGTAATAATTTGATGGTATTCTCACTCACATCGTTCAAGTTCGAAGACTTATTGGATGACCTCATATATTATTATCACAGTGATGAGATTTTATACATGTGTTGCTATTACACTTACTGAGCAGACCACGTGTTTCACGCAACGGAGAACTACTCAAATTCGTCTTCGCAGTTTATTTTGATATCAACTTAATATTAACTACCATTTTTTTAAAAATTCCAACCATGTTTACTTCATAGGATAATTATACTTTCAACTCGCATCTTTTAACTCATATAAAAATCACTACATAAGTTGGAATAATCACCAATGTTTTTAAAAATATGTTCTTTACAAAATAATTAAATTTCATCTACGAGTGGTACTTATGATTTATAGTGAAATTTTTTCAATAAATTGTCTTCAATAGAAAATTTGTTCATGTAAAATATTTCCATAAAAAATATCATGAGTATTTCGTGCAAACATCAGGTTTTTGAGTTTAAATATAGAGTTGTAGACCATAAACCACAGTAAACAGATGATATAACCATATTGGAATCCAATTGTTGATTTGTTAAGAGTGGGTGTTTCACTGGAGAATCAACAGCTTCCATAGATGAGTCAAATCCCAACTGACCAAATTTATTGCAGCCAAAACAAAACAGAATGCCATCTTCTGTCAGACAGGCAGTGTGACAACCACCGCAGGCAATCTAGCACAAAGTATTAAAAATAAAGATGTAATAACCATCGAAAACAGACTCGAATCTAGTTATAAAATACCATACATTGTATGCAAAACATCTGACCTATTTCCCATTATGAAACATGGGTTCAGGTTTTTGTTATCCTTATCACAACTAAAACATCTGTCATCACACTATCAGTTTGTACTTTTTAATTATCATGTTTATTTAGGTAGTCTATTACCCTGTTATCACTGACTGATAAACTGCTTTGGCTGGTGGCCAATTAATCGAAAGTGGTTGCACAAACCTGTTTTGAATGCAATGATTTTGTATGCGAACATGGATCCCGATAATTTCAGCAATATGCAAACTCACAATCCATATGGTAAATTCGATGGGATATTGTGGACAAACTTAAAAGCTTTATTCAAGCCAACTTGATGTCCTGTGTCCATCAAGTGATCGAGAATTTAAGTGTTAGTCACTCTTACCTGTCTCTTGCTTAACCATAACTGAATAGTGTTCTGATATGCGATGACGAATTTGCCGAATTATTCGCTTTATATAACTGGCTTCATAGGAGGAGTTGGACTGGCAAGTACACATGAATGTGGAGAATTCAGTCTGCCTTCATTGATGACTTTCATCATACGGCGGTTGCAGAAAATCGCGTTCAGTTTGGCTACAGTAACTGTTTCCGACCCGCATTTCCTAACCTTCTAGTTACAATTTCCTTGGTAGAATCATTTAGGAATTGTAATTTTACGGACAGTACTTTCTTCAAAACGGTAGGAACATTCGGTCTTCTTTACATCTCATTTATGTTTGTTGATGAATTCTGTTGCACACTCATTCCTACTAAGCAGGTTACAAACATTACTCAATTCATCTGCAATGGTGCCATCAAAACAAATCGTTCTGGAGCCATGAGTCAAAATCTTTGCTAAGTTTCTTTTATATCTGAATGGTACAGCACTATAACGATGACAGAATATTGTCAAACTGAGGACTTTCTATGTATCCCTCTTTTTATTATTCCACCTACCCTTGTTATTGGTTGGACGTCTAGAAATAATATGGTATTAATCTGTTCTTCCGCAAGTGCAAAATTAATAGATGGGTGAATGTTATTAAATATACTAATTAAATTATCTAACTTAATTTTGTTATCCCAATTGAAATATTTCTTATTATTTTGTTCTACCAAAATAAATCTATCATACCTTTGAACTTTAAATGCTCTCGCGTTTATTTTTTTAAAGATATGTCTTTTCATAACTCTATGACCTAGCCAATGTTTGTATTTATATAATTTGTACTTTAACAATAATTTCATCCAAGCTTCTTTAAATAGGTCATGTTTCGTACTTTTCCCGAGTTTCTTTTTCAAATAATTTATTGATTTTGGTAGTTCATGTGTCAATTTTTACTTGAAAGGATATGTCGCTGAACGAAATAAATAATTCTACATTACTTACAACCAACTTTCCTAGCTATATTCTGATTACTGTTGCAAATCAACTTTAACTTTATTAATGGAGAGTATCTAAACAAATTTAATTTGAATTGTTCATGTTAATTAGGTATTAATAGGCATATTAGGAATCAGTTTTGTAAACCATAATATGATATATGAAAAACAGGAACTAATATAAGTTCCACTTATTAATGTCACATTAATCTCACGACAAATATAAGTGAAAAAGGATCTGTTAGCATGTAGTCTACATTTTCCTCATTGGCTGACGATTTGTTAACTGATAAATAAGTCACACCATCTTGGTAAGACCTCCTGAATATGACAGATTTACAGCCGTAATAATATCTTGACTCAATCGGTTTGTGATTTATTCTTCTAAAAATGTATTTATTAAGTAATTAACAGCTTTGTAACTTCAGTAAGCTATTATAAAATATGGAAACAATATAAAAGTCTTTCGGTTACTGAGAAATATGCAAACTATTTAGTCACTTTTAAATTTGGAGAGATTTGAACAAATAAGGAAATTAATTACAACCACTGGTGCTCCCCAAATGGTTTGTCCTTTAAACATGAACAAGTGATTTGTTTTGAGTTGATTGCTTGAAATTAGAGATGTACTCCAGCTTAATTATCTAAATGTGACATGCTCTGTGAGAGACCTACAAGTTTTCAACTCAACATCGTATGATGTGCACAATTTTGAGATATTTAAGACTAAGAAGAAACAGTTGATGAATGCTACTGAGATATTAACCGTTCTCCAAATTATCCTAACTTAGGATCAAACATGACTGATTTTTGATGGATTGGATGATAATAGGAAAGACAACATTTTGTATTGACTTTTATGGATAAACGTTCAAAACATCATTCAATAACAAACCATTGAAAAAAAACGTATTGTCTAAGTTTGATGAGTACAAACGAAAGTCTACAAAATTCATATACTAAAATTGTAAAGTATAAGTAAGATACAACGTAATCAGGACAAACAAAATAATAAATATAAGTAGGTGAAAAAGGCTAAGACAATTACTAATATATCACATCACGATTTTTTAAACTTTGTGTATTATGTAATACGTGCATTTATGTGCAGCATGATCTTCATATAATTAATTATCTATTTTAGGATTCAACAAACGTGCTCTAGCAAAATCTCGAGATAATCTAGCATCTCGTACAGTAACCGGTGTATCAGATATTAAAAAATGTATACACAAAGCAATGAATATAAGGCAATGTTCAAATATTAGAAATATAGTGCTTGCTGTCATATCAGTTAAGATTTCTAATCGATGAATTTCTGATATTAATAAACCAGCATTAGTTAATACAGATAACCAAGCTTGTATACCTAATAGCAATAACCATATAGATTGTTCTCTAAGTAATAAATTCGATTTAGGACATTGTGTTACCCAAAATAATTTGAATACATCAAAATGTATTTCAAGAAATGTACATAATATAGCTAAAATTGTAATAAATAATGGTGATGCATAAGCAAATAATACAAGATAGCCATGTTGTAAAACCATTTCTAAATAATCATCAAATGATTCATAAATATCTGCGCATAATTCACGTTCAACACGTATTTGATACACAGGTTTTTCACTATTGTGATTACGTTTAATTAAACCAATTGATTGTTTTTCTTTCCATGCACGAAATCGATAAATTATGTATGGTATAATACATTCAAGTGTTAAGCGTCTTATTGAATCAGTAGCAAACATTGTTAATAAAAGTGAACGTAATGCCAAACGATCAGCTAATATAAAGCCTAAATAAATTAAACCACCATATGCATCAACCAATTCAAATAAGAAACGTTTTATAATCAATGCACGTTCATAATCCTTATTTGTCTGAAAACAAAGGGAGAAAAAAACGTAAACAGATTAATAAATAATTAATATATTTGTAATATCTTAATGAGTAGAAAAACTAGATTTTCTGACATTTCGTGACTTAGTATAAGCCACTTTCTTCAGAGAATAAATAACCAAATTAAAATTAATCCAAATTTAAATAGTATAACGGAACCAGTTTATTCGAAATTATCAAATCAAACCTTGGTAATGATACCTGTTATGTCCGAGCGAAGATTAAATCACGAGTAACTTCTGAGACATTAATTAACTAATATTATCTACATATTCTTATGGTATAACTATTCAACAATTAGATTATGTATATTTATATTCCTCTTATTATAAGCTTTATTTTGACCTATAATTTATTATTATACGATTTACGGTTCTTAAACTATGTTCAGTTTATTGACTACTTCTTCCCACGTTCACAGCCATATATGGCCAAACATTGTACAAATGTTATTTACTGTTTTATGGTACGTTGTGGTCTGTCTGGATGATATATAAACTGAGTATGTTTGAAATAAATGATTCGATTCGATTCATATTTCAGAAGCTGGTATTGTGTTCTAGACTCAAGCGGACGGGGTAGGAGGATCATTAGACCAATAAGGACGCTAGACTGCTCATACCGGTTGAACGTCATTGGTTTTGTCATAGTGCGAAGATTTGTATAAGTCGTATTTTGATTGGTGGATAAATCACGTGATAAAAGCCGGACATAAAATCATAACAATACCTGTAAACAGATTAATATAATATTACTTATTTTAAAATAATTATTACATATTGAACATTTAATTTATAATTTTTGTGATAAATATAAATAAATTTAATTCTTTTTTATTGTGCCAACTATTTAATTATTAGTAACATGTTGTTTGATTGATATTATTTCGAAAATTAATGATTGAAAATGATAACTTTTTCTAATTATAAAATCTGATTGGTAGAAATTTCACTTACAATCTAAGATTAATGTGAAATTATAATATTGGGAAGAATTAGACTATAGGAACTTATATAATGAGGAAAAAAATTTTTTGAAAGAAAGCAAAAATAGTATTAATTAAATAATGTAGTCTAAGATAGGAAACAAGACAAATTTCACTCGGTTAGAAACAGTATCTCATTACTTAAGGTATGAAACAAAAGATAAATTGTTGGAAAATACCCATTTGTTACTCTGTTGAACAATGTTCAGAAAATTCGTAAACAAATCAGCTGTACGATCTATAAAAATCCCATCAAATGGGACCTAGTTAATCAACAGATGCCAATCTAACACTAAATTTTTATTGCAAGTTGAAATGTTGTAAACTGACCTTTACCATTTTTTGCAGTCGATCGGAGTCGTCAAACAATGTACAATTTAAAGGATTTGCGTCAAACATAAATAGTTCATTAAAGATTACGTATCAAGATTGCAACACATAGAGAATTATCAACCGCTGTGTACTAATACACGTCCCCAGACCTCATCCTCATCTGGAATACGGCCACCAAAAACAACATCTAACAAGGTATACGAATCTCTGGACTAGTTCCAACGTCTCATTACAAAGGGTGAGTAATGAACAGGCGCCAATCTTGCAGAAGTGATTTGCATTCTTATTACGCAAACCCCATATTATACATCCAGGAGCTCATCGCCAATTTTAAAAATGAGAGTGACAACCGCTTTCTAGAAGGATGAAAAAACAGACTTTATCAGATCTCTCCAAACAGTTCAGTAACGTCCTAAACTTCTAGTCTTTGATTAGAGCCGGAATTTGGTTTCCTGGTTAACGAAACTGTAGGAAATTCTATTAGATAACCGCTTCCTTAGACTCATCATTAATCATCTGTGAATAAGAACAAAATAATCTATCTAACGTTGGTGGAGCCGTAAAATGTTCCTTAAAGTTCTCCACCCAATTTTTGAGACATTTTTGAAAAAATTCCTTATAGCTATGCCACTGACCCTATATATCGTTCAACCGGCAATACGGCTCTGGTTACTAGTGATACTTTTCAAAGGCTACTAAATCAACAAACTCCTTCAAATAGGGAGTATGTTGCATCCTCCAAGCTTCACTGTCTTTTATGCTTGCAATTAACCGGAGTAGGTTAAAGGGTCCCGAAACGTTATACAGACCCTATTTAGCTTGATATGGCATCTTGTATATATAACTAATATTCATCTGCGCTTTTCAACGAATTGACAGTTAATTCTCTGTAATGATCTCCAGTCCAGAAGGCTCGTAGACACCATTAAATTTGAAATGGTAACTCATTACGTTGGAGTACTTCAATCTCGACCACTGAATAGCAAAATTAATATCAAATTAACTAATTGGATCTACATGCATATTTGTTTGTTTCCACAGAGTTATATGAGACTTAAAATTTCAGACATATAGAAAACATATCATTATTTAATCTGTAGAACTCATGATATTTATTCTATAAAAATGAAAATAACTAACACAATGATTTTCCCATTCAGTTAGATGTTCAGCAATAGCACGAAAAACCATTTGATTCATAACGAAAACCATTAAAGAATGTAAAACCCCAGGAATATACGATAATATTCCATTGGCGTTCGGATCAAATATTGCATGAGGTTCAGCGAACTGACTTACGAATCCTATATGAAACCATGGCGACTTTTCTGCTACGATAAAACCCTGTGAGAAAAGAAGTGAGATGAAGATTATGTTAACAACAGCTAAGAGAGAAGCGAATGACACATGGATGTATGATAGTGTAGAAAAATTTCCATGAGTTCAACATCATACAGAGTGTATTAGAATGTTTATCTTTTACTATAGAAATAAAGCTAACGCAAAATGTGCCGATTTATGGCGTTAGACACAATTAGGCAGTACAATAACAAAAAATCTAAGCGATAATATAGAAGTTAGAAGATAAAAAAGGACAGCAAAATACGAAAAACGACCTATAATCCGACACTTTTGTTATCTTTAAGAAACTAGTCAACTATGTTTTATTCAACTGTAATTAGCTATACCATTTTGTGAAAAGTTCTAACCTGTGCAAACAAAGGTTTCGAATACTATGCTAATACTGTGTCGAAAGTATCAATCATTTTATTTCTTTTAGATTCACAATCATGATAACAGAACACTCCTATTGTATGGAAGAAACTTTACCACTGAACACGATAAAACGCACATAACAAGTATGAGTTATATAATATTTTAGGGCTAGTGGCAACAACAGGATTTCCAAACCTAAGTAGGTGGAGTGAGGTTCAAACCTCAGATTTATTGTATTGAAATCTAAATGCTTTAAACATTAAATCACCTTTGAACCCCCGAGATCTTAGCTATCCATACGAATAAGTTTAAGGAAAATAGTACACGTAGACCTTCCTATTGAGAAAAGAGCTGGACCTGACAACGTACCACCTAAAGCACTGGAAGTAACTGCAAAGATGTTCCATTCAGGGGGATTCGGGAAAAAAGAAAAAGTGCCGAGAGACTGGAGAGAAGGACACCTCATTAGGTTACCAGAGAAAGGAGATCTCAGCAACTGTGACAACTACAGTGGAATCACACAACTATCGGTACCAGGAAAAGTTATCAATGAAGTGTTGCTGAACCAGATGAAAGATTCAGTCGACGCCCAACTTCGAGATCAACAGGCCGGATTCCACAAGGACCGCTCAAGCACAGATCAAATCGAGACACCACGGATCATCATTGAACAATCGACTGAATGGACCTCGTCACTATACATCAACTTCCTTGACTATGGGACAGCATTCGACATTGGGATAGGAAAACATTATGGAAACGTTCTCGTCACTATGGCGTACCTGAGATCGTCAACATCATCCAGAATTTAAAGACGGTCTACACTGCGAAGTCGTGCATGGATGACAGTTGACAGATGCATTTCAAGTGCAGACCGGGGTCAGACAAGGTTGCCTAATCTCTCCCTATCTCTTCCTTCTGGTGGTTAATTAGATTATGACGACCTCCACAACTCAGGGGAAGTACGGAATACAATGTAGAGCTTGGATTCGACTAGGCGATTCAAACTTTACAGATGATCTATTGCTTCTATACCATACACACGAACAAATGCAGATGAAGACAGTCAGTGTAGCAGCAGCCTCTGAAGCATTAGGCCTCAGCATACACAGAGGAAAAAGCATGATCCTGAAGAACAACACAGAGAGGACCAACACAACCACAATTGATGGAGAAATTCTTTAAGAGGTGGAAAGCCTCACACATCTAGGCAGCATCATCGATAAACAAGGAGGATCGGATGCAGACATTAAGGTGAGGATCGGCAAAGCAAGGATAGCATTCCTACAGTTGGACAATATATACAACTCAAAACAACTGTCAACCAATATCAAAGTCAGAATCTTCAATACGAACGTCGAGACAATTCCACTGTACGGAGCTGAGACGCGGAGAACTACCACAATCATCATCTAAAAGGTTCAAGTATTTCTAAACAATTGTCTACGCAGGATACTTAATATCCGTTGGCCGGATATCATCAGCAACAGCCAACTGTGGGAGAGAACAAACCAGCTTCCAGCTGAATAGGATATTAGGAAAAGACGTTAGAGGTGAATAGGACACACATTAAGGTAATCACCAGAATACATCACGAGGCAAGCACCAACTTGGAATCCTGAAGAGAAATGGAAAAGAGAAAGGCGAGAAGAACACGCTATGCCGAGAATCTGAGGCAGACATCAAAGGAATGAGTAGCGACTTGAAACAAATCGGAGAGGATTGCCCAATACGGAGTACGATGGACAATGCTGGTGGGCGGCTTGTGCACCTCCACAACGGGTAGTAGGAGTAAGTAAGTCAGTTTAAGGAACAATCATTTCTACTAATTTATATCTATGTCGAAACTAATACGCACCTAGTCTTCTTTCTAAACCTCTTCTACATCTTCATTAACTATTAAAAGTATTCTGAGACATACCATAAATATTTCTCTAATATTGTGAATACATATAGCAAACTAATGCTTTAGATACGTTCATAAATTACGATTGACCCAAATAAATTGAAAAATTCTTGCATATTTAAAAGTAGGTTCTTATCAAAGAATGATATTTTTTAAATTAAACATTGAAAATTGTGGATAATTAAGAAAAAGAGGTCCAGTCTTATTCTTGGCATCTAAAACAATAAACATACGTGATCCGATTTGAAAATTGAATCATTGTGAATTTAATTTTCTGTTAATGATATTCTAGGGTTTGAATTAGTGTAAAGTAAATTTTAACAAAACTCATAATATAATTTGACTTACTCTCCAATGTTATGTAATATTATTATTATTATTTGTAGGACACTAAATTAGTTAAATAAACCATATTTTGTATTAGGAATTATCATAACTCTTTTAGATAGATGACTAAAGAAGAAATTTAATGAATAGTTAAGTAACGTGATGAGCTATTTGTTCTTTCATTTTAATTTGCTTACTATTGATTTGTGATGATATTTTGATTATTTTCACTTCTTTTCAGTGTGCAATATTTACTGATTGTGTTACTATACAATATTAAGAAGGTTTTAAGATGTAAGTATTATTTACATAAAATTTTATGCATATAATATTACTATCAAAATATGCTTGAAATTAGTAGAACGATCAAAATATAATAAATACTGTACTATATACTAAAAGTTTAGGACTATTTCTCTACTATTATAGTGGTCTAGTAATTAAGCGTTCATGCGCGAGACTGATAGGTCCTAGGTTCGAATCCCGCGAGGCGGGGCCGTGGGTGCGCGCTGCTGAGGAGCCTCACAATAGGACAAAATGGCCTTCCAGTGTTTCCAGGTTTTCCATAGTGGTCTAGCGTCAATTGACTCATGATCTCAACTATTGAAATTACTACATAAGCAATTAACCATATAATTTGCATAAATAAAAAGATAATCAAATCTAATAATGACTAAAATGAATGAATATAATAAACATAAATTAATCATTAAAAGACACTATTCTTTTGATATGATGAAGGAAGTAGTAATAAACCAAAACAGATTGTAGATTTTAATACAGACAAAATTAAGAATGCTAAAGGATGTCTTAGAGTACAATTAAGTTCATTGTCTGATCAATGTCTTTTCTAACATCAAATGTGAGTTAAAGTACGATAAAGGTCACAAAAATTTAGTGATTACGTTAAGAAACAATACAAAATGATGATATATTTGATTGTCTAAACTATATAATATCATATGTTAACTTAGTGGAAGTTCTCGGGGTAGGAAAATGTCGCCATAACCAGTTTGTGTTCAACAATGTGCAATAACCTTTACTGCTGATTGATATTTATATTATCAGAATGAGTTTTGTGGAGATTTTAGAAATTTCACAGATTGAAATCATGAGTCAGTTGAAGCTAGACCACCATTGAAAACCCGGAAGCACTGGACGGCCATTTCGTCCTAGTATGGGACTCCTCAGCAGTGCGCATCCACGACCCCGCACTACCCGGGGCTCGAACCCAGGACCTACTGGCTTCGCGCGCGAGCACTTAACCATTAGACCACTGAGCCAGTAGGTCCTGGGTTCGAGCCCCGGGTAGTGCGGGGTCGTGGATGCGCACTGCTGAGGAGTCCCATACTAGGACGAAACGGCCGTCCAGTGCTTCCAGGTTTTCAATGGTGGTCTAGCTTCAACTGACTCATGATTTCAATCTGCGATATTTATATATCAACTTACAATGTTGCTCAACTTTCCTGTATACTTCGACCCTGAATCTGACAGAATGGAAACACACCTTTCTAATGGATGTTAATTAACACGGAACATGTATTCAAGCACTCCTCAAGATTGTTTCCAACCACTAAATATTCAATTTTATTTATTATCTGTCAAATAATTTATTTATTCTCTCAGTTTGAGCTTTACAATTTCGAAACAATCCACCTCTATGTGAGATTATTTGTTTCGGCCAACTGATCAAAAGACTTGATATAAGTAGATACAAGCTTACAGAAATATTTGATCATAAACAGTGGGAATAATTTTAGCAATTGCTGAAAAAGCAGTAAAGTTATTGATACAATAAAATGTTGAGATAATTTCCGAACTGGTGAATGTAATGCTGAGACAGCCGGATATATAAACTTTGATCAAATAGAACATTGTTTAAAAATGATGAAGTTACCGCAATAAAACAAAGCAAAATATAAAAGATGCCAATAAAATAGTATGACTGTGAATTACTTATTAGATTAACAATATATGGTGAATAATGAAAACAGTCGTCATACAACAGTCGATTCGAACTATACAATAATCATATATTTCAATGAGTTCGTCAGTTAACGAGGACTCACAAATAGTTTTCGTCTTTTTATCTAATACCTTACGTCCTTATCCTCAGCAATACTCATTTGATTGTTCTTCCATGTGTTAACAGTTTCGAAGACATCTATAATCAAATACTACTAACCTATTTATCTCCTCTACATTGAAAAATGTTTCACAGCTATACAATAAAGCACACAGAAACGTTGGGCAGACTATTCTCCTTTTAATAGGTAGAGGGTTCTTTCGCATGTTATCATGAAACTACGCTAAACTGAGCAGTTTGATCATACTGTGAGACTGAGTGTGACTACTAAAAATAGTACCTAAAAGCTTATCCAAGAAATAGGACCGTTTCATTGTGTATTAAAACAAATAAATCGATCAAACAGACCAACTTGAAAAAATATTAATATACAGAGTTACGAATATGTACGGTATATTCGTGAACTTTAAGGATGAATGTTGAATACTTCAAAAGAAGATTGACTGGGCGAGAAGAATTGAGAATTAATTCACTTCACCAAAAACATTCGGAGATTCTAAATTTCAAAAGATTAAAAGACGCCTATCCAATGAATTCTATTAGAAACTTTGAACAGGATATAACTCTTTAGTCGACTGTCGACCATACAATTTGTGAAATATACTAATAATATATTCGTGTCTAACACTAAGACCTTAGAGAAGAATCAAGATATTTATTATTGATGTGGTAGTGAAAGTATGGTTGGTTGGTGAGCATGGACAAACAAGCACTTAGCTTACTGACTATTAAATGTGTGATTTCCTGTTATTGATTTCTACTCAGGACTCACTAAGTCTGACTGCTTGTAACTGTGTTGAATAGATTATTAACTAGTATTTATCTGGTTTTCTACTCTGGGTTGCGAATCTTGTATCTGATATAACGTGACTAGTTTCATAATCGTAAAACGTATTATCATAGTATACCTAAGAGAGAAAAAATATTTTAAACTATCCGTTATTTTAATTATATGTATAGGTTTGTATTTTGTTGTTGTTGATATTGACTACAATTGATTAATTTTGTATTAGGGTATGTAAATCTTGAAAGGATTGTGCCTTGGGTTCGATTGATAGCAAAAATTCAGCTATACTAAATTCATTATATTAAGAAAGAAACTATAATGATACTGTATAGGTTATTATTGAAATATAGGCAGCATATCCCATCCCGATTTTCATTCGTTAAATGTATCTAAAACTCCGCCTGTAGCTCTCATAGGGTTACTGCCGGTCCCAAGCCCGGGTAAAGGAGGAGGGTTGGGCATGGGGTTAGCGTCCCCATCCCGTAGAAAACTAACTCGCTAAAAAAACGATTACTAGAAAAAATAATCCAAACCATTTTAACTCTGCCCTGGGAGTTAGAAGGTCTTCATTTAGAAGAATTATGACGCTTCATGGTGAAAGCCGAGTTCCTTTGGAAGCCACGAGGTTGATGCCCCTTCTAACAACCAGAGCAAAAATTTTTATAGGTACATGGAATGTCCGGACAATGTGGGAGACCGAGAAGACCAGTCAAATAGCAACGGAAATGAGGAGATACAACTTGGTAGTACTGGGAATCAGCGAAACCCATTGGACCCAAGCTGGACAACAAGGACTAAATACGGGAGAGATGCTGCTATACTCCGGTCATGAAGAGGACAATGCTCCACACACTCAGGGAGTCGCTCTTATGCTGTCCAAAGTAGCACGAAATGCACTTGTAGGATGGGAATCTCACGGATCCAGAATCATCAAAGCATCATTCAAAACAAAGAAGGAGGGGATCTTAATGAATATTATCCAATGTTATGCACCCACAAATGATAGCAACGACGACATTAAAGATCAGTTCTACGAGCGGCTGCAGTCAATCATAGAGAAATGCCCAAGAAAGGGCCTCACCATTCTAATGGGAGATCTAAATGCCAAAGTCGGAATAGACAACACTGGATATGAAGATATTATGGGACGACATGGACTGGGAGAAAGAAACGAAAATGGAGAAAGATTTGCAAATCTATGTGCATTCAACAAATTGGTCATAGGAGGCACAATATTTCCACACAAGCGTATACACAAGGCTACATGGATCTCACCGGACCATACTACAGAGAACCAAATAGATCATATTTGCATCAACAAAAAATTCCGAAGGACAATGGAAGATGTGAGAACCAGGAGAGGCGCTGACGTAGCTTCAGATCACCACCTAGTTGTGGCCAATTTGAAACTGAAGCTAAAAAAGAACTGGACAAGTGGACAAACAGCACTACAAAGGTTCAATACAGCCTTCCTTCGAGATACTGACAAACTCAATGAATTCAAGATTGCTCTCAACAACAGGTTCCAAGCCTTACAAGATCTACGGAAGGAAGTAGAAACTAGTATGGAGGACAACTGGAAAGGCATCAAGGAAGCATTAACTTTAACGTGTCAAGAGGTTCTGGGTCTAAAGAAATACCATCATAAGGAGTGGATCTCTACAGAAACACTGGACAAGATCAAAGAAAGGAAGAACAAGAAGTCTGCAATAAAAAACAGCCGAACACGAGCAGAGAAAGTCCAAGCACAAGCTGAATACATAGAAGCAAACAAACAAGTGAAGAGGAGCATTAGAGCCGACAAGAAGAAATACGTGGAAGAACTAGCAACGACGGCAGAAAAAGCTGCCAGAGAAGGAAATATGAAACAGCTTCACGATACAACGAAGAAACTAGCAGGGAAATACAGTAAATCAGAGAGACCGGTCAAAGACAAAGAAGGCAAGCCAATCACCGAAATTCAACAACAGCGGTACAGATGGGTAGAATACTTCGAGGAACTCCTGAATAGGCCGGCTCCAATGAATCCACCGGACATCGAAGCGGCACACACAGATCTTCCCATAGACGTCAACCCACCAACGAAGGAAGAAATCAGAATGGCCGTCAGACAAATCAAGAACGGGAAAGCAGCGGGTCCGGACAACATACCAGCTGAAGCACTGAAGTCAGACATCGAAGCAACTACAAACATGCTTCACCTTCTATTCAAAAAGATTTGGAAGGAGGAACAAGTGCCGATGGACTGGAAAGAAGGGCACCTCGTCAAGATTCCAAAGAAAGGAGATCTGAGCAAATGTGAAAACTATAAAGGCATTACACTGCTGTCAATACCAGGGAAGGTCTTCAACAGAGTGTTGCTGAACCGGATGAAAGATGCAGTAGACGCCCAACTTCGAGATCAACAAGCTGGATTCCGTAAGGATCGATCATGCACAGACCAAATTGCAACACTACGGATCATCGTCGAACAATCAGTTGAGTGGAACTCACCACTATACATCAACTTCATTGATTATGAAAAAGCATTCGACAGGGTAGATAGGAGGACATTATGGAAACTTCTTCGACACTACGGAGTTCCTGAGAAAATTGTCAACATTATCCGGAACTCATACGACGGACTACAGTGCAAAGTCGTGCATGGAGGACAGCTGACAGATGCATTCCAAGTAAGGACCGGAGTCAGACAAGGCTGTTTACTCTCTCCCTTCCTCTTTCTTCTGGTGGTCGACTGGATTATGAAGACATCGATATCTGAAGGAAAACACGGAATACAATGGACAGCTCGAAATCAATTATACGATTTGGACTTCGCAGATGACCTAGCCCTCCTATCGCATACACACGAACAGATGCAGATGAAGACAGCCAGTGTAGCAGCAGTCTCTGCATCTGTAGGCCTCAGTATACACAAATGGAAAACCAAAGTCCTAAAATTCAAATCGGAAAACAACAATCCAATCACTCTTGATGGCGAAACTCTGGAAGATGTAGAATCCTCCACATACCTGGGAAGCATCATTGATGAACAAGGAGGTTCAGATGCAGACGTAAAGGCAAGGATTGGCAAAGCAAGGACAGCATTCCTACAGTTAAAGAACATATGGAACTCAAAACAACTTTCAACCAATATCAAAGTGAGAATCTTCAATCCGAACATCAAGGCAGTTCTACTGTATGGAGCTGAAAATTGGAGAACTACAACAACCACCATCAAGAAGGTACAAGTATTTATAAATAGCTGTCTACGCAAGATACTCAACATCCATTGGCCGGATACCATCAGCAATAGCCCTCTGTGGGAGAGAACAAACCAACTTCCAGCTGAAGAAGAAATTAGGAAAAGACGATGGAAATGGATAGGACATACATTACGCAAATCGTCAAACTGCATCACGAGGCAAGCCCTAACGTGGAATCCTGAAGGGAAGCGAAAAAGAGGAAGCCCAAAGAACCCATTGCGTCGGATAATAGAAGCAGATATGAAAACGATGAATTACAACTGGACGGAGCTAGAAAGGATTGCCCAGGACAGGGTTGGATGGAGAATGCTGGTGAGCGGCCTATGCTCCTTGACTAGGAGTAACAGGCGTAAGTAAGTAAGTAAATGTATCTAAATTACAATGTGACACATTGCTCCCACTTGATCTATCAACCAATGGTTATTGTTTCAAATGCCAGAAAAGTTCCATGTTAAAAATTTGAGCTTTCTTTTTTTTAAATTTCAATTTTCATAAACTAAATGATCTTCAATTACTTAACATTAAGTATATAAATGACAGCTGTAATTCGCTGATAATACATCCATTGACTTGAAAAAGGTTTCGTCTTCTGGAATCTATTTATCTAGGATGTGGGCAATGTTTTGGTGGGCGAATTAAAGATTCACCATTTAGGTTTGCCTCAATTGTACCTCTATAACAAGTAAATAACTCTATTAAAGCATTCTGCGTAATAATAAGATGACTTACTTCCATATTCAACAGGGCAATATTTACAAATATAGCCCATAACAAACATACTAATGTGATGAAACCGGATGCCACATAACGTAATCGACGTTTAGCTGCGGGATAGTGCAATTCCATCAAGCCAGTAACGCGACTTTGTCTCCAAGTGCCGTGAAAAGTTGGCCTCTGATCAATAAAGTTAAACAGCCAAGCTAAGTCATTTGCTGCTAATTCAATTAAGGCATTGCCAGACCATCGATCGACACAAGAAATATACTCACGTTGCCACATTTTAGTACAGATAACAGCCCATAATATCATGAAAATAGTATAAACTAAATGAATTCCTAGTGATACTTGCTTATCTTCAAAATGTTGACCATTTAGTAAATTGAACACTTGACAAAATAAACCAGCGATTAACGGACAAGTTAAATAAACACAATAAGACTTCATCCAAACAAAATAAAATCCAATTGAATCGCCAAAATACTGACGTAATTTCTCCGAATTCGGAAATACATTTAAAGTGGAGAAATGATCGGTCCATATAGATCGTCTTTCCATTTTGTCATGACTTCTAGTTAAATTAGATATTAGTCCTAAATACTCTAAGATGAATAGAGCTGAACGATTTGATAAAATATACTCATCAATATTACCAATCAGATTTAAGGACAAACCCAAATCATATACAAGACTTTTAATGTGTGCCTTAGACAAAACTAAACTACGAATAGCGAGTTCGGCAAGCCAAGCTGTTTGCCCATCGGTTAACTTTTGAACACAATTATTGAGTTCTACAAGGTATACACAGAAAAAGACAAGAAGGAAAGTAACCAAAGTGGTTTAATAATTAATTAAAAACTATTTAAGAAGTTAGTAGTAGTCGTAAAAGTTTTGATGATAACACGTATTTTTGTTTTGATTATCTCCACAGGTGCACAAATTTATAAAACTATCTGGAAGCCAAGACCAAAATGTTATGGTTGACATAATGATTCAGATTAAATTTCTCTTAACTCGAATGGTAAACGGGAATGGGCAATCTGGAAACTTGAAACTGTGCAAATTATTAGGACTTGGGTATTTAAGACAGTAAGCCATTTCTGCGTAAATATTCAGTGACACTATATTTAGTTTTTAAAAATGAACCAGGAAAATCAACCCAAGGCTCCCACCCCAAGAAATGAGATCAGTTAATGAAATCATCAACTGCTAGTCTGAACTGTCCAGGAAAGTGTTGACACCTTGATAGAAGTTTGGTTAATCTATTATTGGAGGCAATTCTTGAGTCCAGTATTATTTCATACGTTCTTGATTTCAATGATAGGTTTCACTCTTACAATTCAATCATACCTTTAAGGTAAATTTTCCGTATTTAGTTTTCTAATATAGTTGGCAACATTGTTTCGACATTATTCATTTACTCTTATTGAGTTGATACAAAGCGTGGGAAATTCGGCTGATACAAATATGCACCAGGTTTTGTTTTGTTTATTAGTGACTGACTGGAATATTTTAGGCACATTTTACCAATCATAATAAACCCCTTTACAAATGAATTAGGGGTTTGATAAGTGATTTTTGAAACACCAAAGCTTTTGATAAACCATATCTATGAAAACGGGTAGAATACCTCAATGACATAACTAAAATCCACAGAACTATTCAACTAATCGTCTACATCTAAACGTATTCACTCTTGAAGAGATAGTAAACAATTGTTCAACGGGTTACAGAATAGGTATAAGAACGGAATAAAAAATTAAACAACTAACAAACTGAGTAACCTTATTGATAATTCCTGAAAGTAATGGTTAACACATTAGCTGTTTAATATGAACTTCTGATCGTGAAACATTCACTTTTTGCTGGAACTGCACACTAAAATCTCACCTACGAAGTACAATCAGGCGCATATATACATAAGTTTAAGCTGCCACACCTCATTAGGACAACAAGATGAACACCAAATTCATATTAGTTACATCAATGGTAGTAATGTATACAAGAAAGATTGTGCATAAGGATACAGTCAGTCAGTCAGCTACAACGTAGGACCAGGCACATATGTGCATCGGTCCAGGTTGCCATACCGCATCAGCACAACAAGATGAACACCGGATTCATAACAGTGGTTAGGTAAAAGGTGGTAATATATAAGAGAAAGATTGCATATAGAGATATAGTACAAGAAGAAAGAATTGGTTCGTAGAAAGAAAGATATGAAGCGATTTTAATCTCTTAGTTTAAGGGAAGACAGGGAGTGTATACACCGACGCCATTGTGATCGATTCTGAGCCATGTCACCAAGAGTCTCCAACCATTGGTTACGATAGTCACGCGGACCCCAACCAAGTAGTCTGCATCTACCAACATGGCTCAGACTAGAAGTTAGTGACTTCAAGCACTGATGCCACGTTTTGGTTTGGCCGCCCCTAACTTTCTTCCAACCATTTCCAATACCGGATAGCATTGCACGTCGTGGTAATCGGTGTTCAGGCATACGTAACACGTGGCCCAACCATCTCAGTCGATGAAGATTCATAACCTCATCAACTGATTTACCATCCTTTCCTAATACCCTGCGTCTAACCTCACTATTACTTACCCGGGGATCCCAGCAGACGCCAGCAATATTCCTAAGGCATCTGTGGTCAAATACTAGCAGCTTACGAGTGTCTTCTACTCTTAACGGCCATGTTTCGCTACCGTAAAGTAAAACAGAACGGACTGCCGCGCAGTATACTCGTCCTTTTATTGATAGACGGATATCTCGCCTTCGCCAAAGGTGACGTAAGTTGGCAAAAGCCAAACGAGCTTTTCGAATCCGTGCTGAGATTTCGTCCGATACCAACCCATTAGGGCTGATCAGACTTCCAAGATAAGGGAAGTTGTCAACGCGTTCGACTACTTCACTCCCTATCCTTAGTTCAGGTGTTAACGCAGACCAGTCCTGAAGCAACAACTTGCATTTCGAGGGAGAGAAGCGCATTCCAAACATTCTGGCATTGTTGCTCAGTGCTACCAGAAGACTTTGCATTTTGTCAGCGTCTTCACCAAACAGGACTATGTCATCTGCGTATTCTAAGTCGATAAGTGGACCTCCTGGAAATAGATCAATACCCGAGAACTCAGTCGACGAGAAAGTTATTTCCATCAGTAGGTCTATGATGAAGTTAAACAAAAATGGGGAAAGTGGACATCCTTGACGAACACCACTTGAGGTTGCAAAAGTAGATGACAGTTCGCCATAAGCTCTCACTCGACTAGTAGTGTTCGAGTAAAGAGCCTTCACAAGGTTTATGTACTTCTGAGGTACACCTTTCAATGACAGACACTGCCACAGAACCTCGCGGTCTACCGAGTCAAATGCTGCTTTTAAGTCAAGAAAGACCACCATCGTCGGACACCGATAAGTGTGCCTGTGTTCTAGAACCTGACGAATGGTGAATATTTGGTCGATGCAGCCACGACCAGGTCTGAAACCAGCTTGGTTTTCTCGTGTTTGCAGTTCACGAGTCTTAGTTAGGCGTCTGATAATTATCGAGGCTAGTATTTTAGATATTATATTAGTTAAACTAATCCCTCTGTGGTTGTCACAGGATGATTTTGACCCTTTCTTATATATTGGGACGATAAGTGATTGTGACCAGTCAGATGGAATAACGTCTAACTCCCAGATCTTAGCTAAAATATTAGTCAACCTAATAGCTAAAATTGGACTACCATCTTTAAAGACTTCTGGAACCAGTCCATCTGGTCCAGCTGCCCTTCCTCGTTTCAGATTATCTATAGCCTTTTGAACTTCAGCAAGAGTTGGGGGACCTACTTCAATGTTCCATTCACGCTGTCTGGGAATGGAGGGTAGTTGTAGAGTAGCTGAAGGTCAGCTGAACTGTTCCCTAAAGTGTTCCGCCCATCGTTCTAAACGTCTGGACTGGGAATAGATGAGAGTATCGTCTTTTTCCGATATAATCTCACTTACACTTGACTTATTAATTCCAGTTTCTTTTATTAGTCTGTAAAGTTGTCTTGTGTTCCCTATAGTCGCCGCCTTTTCCATCTCTTTTGCTTTCGTTGCCCACCACTGCTCACGGTCGTTTCTTAAACTTTTTCCGAAGGAGGAAGTTTAGGGTTGAAAGTCGATGTAGGAGGAATAATAGGAATTGAAGAGGAAGGTTGATTATGAATACAATGGTCTTGGGTGCTGTTAAAGGTATGAGGGCGGTTATCACTTCCCGGTTGCCCACACCGTGGAAGGGTTCTTCTAGAGGTACCTGAAAAGGAAATTGGATTAGAGGCGGTCTCAGCGACCTGAGAGCGTGACCGCAGTGCCCAAGGGACAACTGCTTGAGGCCGGTCGCGCACGGCCTTTCCGTGGAAGGTTTTTGACATGTTAGCTCCGTTCTTCAAAGGGCCTTACCGCCGGAGACGGAAATCCGTGAGGTAAGGTGAGGTGTGCATTTTTAGGGTCGACCTTTTCTAACCCCACCCCTCCTTGTGGGAAGGCAGCATCGCTGTCATGCTGGTTGTCTGAAGGAAACACCTTACTGCTGTCACACCTCTGTATAGTCAGCAGTATGACTTCGCCTTCGGACCTTGGGTTTGTTGCTTTTAGTCTTACCGCTCTTCAACCGACCTGTCTGACATGGTAGGACCTTGAGGAACGGTTGTTCCAGCCAGTATAGCTCGGTTGCTTCATCACGATAGGCAAGCCCGACCACCACGTCAAGGTAGCAACAACGGTCGAGGATAAGGATACAATACAGGAAGAAAGAATTAGTTCGTAGAAAGAAAGGTATAAAGCGATTTTAATCTCATGGTTTAAGGGAAGACAAAGAGTGTATACACCGACGCCATTGTGATCGATTTTAAGCCATTTCACCCAGTCTCTAACTACTGGTTATGATAGTCACACTGACCCCAACCAAGTAGTCTGCATCTACCAACATGACTCAGACTAGAAGTTAGCGACTTTATGGACTGATGCCATGTTTTGGTTTGGCCGCCTCTAACTTTCTTCCAACCATCCCCAACACTAGTCAGTGGTAATCGGTGGTCGGGCATACGTAACACGTGGCCCACCTATTTCAATCAATGAAGATTTACAACCTCATCAACTGATTTACCATCATTCCCTGATATCCTGTGTCAAACCTCACGATTACTTACCCAGCGATCCCAGCGGATGTTGGCAATATTTCTAAAACATACTAACTTATGAGCATCTTCTACCCTTAATGAACACGTTTTGCAGCCGTAAAGTAGAACAGAAAGAACTGCTGCGCAGTATACTCGTCCTTTAATTGATAGACGAATATCTCGCCTTCGCCATAGGTGACGTAAGTTGGCGAAAGCCAAACGAGCTTTTTAAATCTGTGTAGAGATTTCTTCAGACACTAACCCATTGGAGCTGATCAGATTTGCAAGATAAGTGAATTTGTCGACGCCGTCAACTACGTCACTCCCTATCCTATTAAAATCTAAGCCACTGGAATAAAGAAATTGCTACATACTGTAGAAACCTACGGAAAATATCTTCCGTGGATTCACACATGACTACTTAAAAACCTGGAAATTATCACTTAAGTGTATCGATCATAGATTCAGAAGTCTTTATCAATACAAAGTATAGAGAAAGATATTTGGTGAAGGGTGATAGAAGTTAGAAATATATATGGTAGCAACCCCAATTTCATTGATTGTTGATTTCAATTCCATGGAACGAGCGATTAACTACCCGATTCAAACTGACAAAGATAAAGGAAATTGAAATTTTGAGTCATTAATTGATGCTTCTGTAAATTAGCTGCAATGATACGAATAATTTCTTTGTTCGCCCATGAGTTTGAGGTGGGTCATCACCATATATTTAATCAATCTAATCACAACAAGATTTGTAGAATAAAATAAATGGATTTAATTTCATTAATTATTTATCAACTATGTATTTGATGCCCCTTTCTACCAATATTTGTGTGTTCAAATAAATAAATTATCGTCTATACCTCACCTAAGATAAGTAATCTGAATATCGATAAATGTAGGTTTTGAGATGCCTACATAATACATTAAATCACATGTTTAATGTTTATAAAGGTCTATTTAACCCTTTCGTGTAGCTTAAAGCGGTATATTAGACAAAAATTGGCAAAACAGCTCTGAAAAAGTACAAAGTTTCAGAACATTTAACTAAGGATTTATTCCTTTACTGAATGCCATTAAATGATAACTAACCTTGTTTGTCGATTGATAAATCCGGTCTTAGTAATGATGCACATTGTTTAAGCCACAACTTTGGTATATATATCAGAACAAAGTGTGTAGAATGACCACAATTATTATAATCAGTTGGTGTTTCATCAATTGTACAACAAGATGTAAATACTGGCTGGTCATCACACTCAATGTTAATCTGTCTGTCAGTAGGAATAAAAGTTGACATTAGACGGTTTTCCATAATGGAAGTTTTAAGACATTCAGCTAGTCTATGAGCAACACGTATTTGATAGGTATTATCGGAATATTTTGGATGTTTTAACGACTTTGGGACTGTGAGACAGAACCTAACACCAGAAGTAGACATGGTTTAATTTTTGTTTGTCAGCAACAGCAAAATATTATCTGTTTAAATGAAAGTGAAATATTTTTCAATGCACTGACCGGTAAACAATGGAAATAAATACTTAATACAAAGAACAGAAAAAATTACAATACTTAAACTTAGGAAAAGCAACTGGGGTCAAAAAACAAGATTTTCTAATTATCTAAAAGGATATGTAACTTCACGAATTGCAAAAATCAAACAGCTATCGTTACTATTAACTCTAAACAACAAACTACCTTATATTGGCATTATGAGGCTCTAATTATGTGTAAATACTTACTCTAAATAGTTATTTCGAGTAACTCTATCGCTAAGAAATACAAACTTTGAGGCTAATTTTTTAATACCCAAAGTTTAGCATGATTGCACACTTCAGATAGTAGGTCATAACTAATATATGGGTTACTGAAAAACGTTACCCCACTAAGGTGTATGTTTATCTAAAGTCCACATATCACGAAAAGCATCGGTTGATTAGAGTTTTTATATATAAAGTACGCATAATTTCAAACTACTTACAAATCAGAGGGATAAAGGACACAGCTGTATGATATATTTACACAATTATTGACAAATATAGAAGTCTACCAAGTAAACTTAGTAATCACTGAAACAAATGTTCTCAGAAAAACCTATGAACAACGTCTCAAACTAATTCTGTCAAATGGAAACTAAATATATTGCAAAATTATTTGAGAAAAATATGTTATTACACCGTTTAGCTTCTAGCCTTCATTATCATTTCGTAATATTCAGGACCCCTAATATCAGTCAGTCAAATGCAAAGTATAACCTGGTAAGCATCCACATCGGTTCAAGTTTCCATACCCCATTAGCGCAGCGAAACGAAATTATTAGAGCTACTTTCGAAGTCGTATATATACTACAATATCAGTGTTAATATAAAAGAACATGATTCCTAGCGCAGAACATTACATTCGTCTCCCTAATATAATGAGCCTGGTACTTACAGCTACTGTTTTCGGCGATGATTCTTCAGAGATTACATGATATATTACAGAACCAAACATTTTAGAAATAAGTGGAGATGTAGTTCTAAATGTTGAGGAAGCCCAAAGCAACAACGCCTTAGTGAGACCTTAAATCAGATAACGCTTCGATGCATTTTATTATCACCTTAAATGGTTAAGTCAATTTTGGTTTTTAAAGGAAAAAATTATCAACCATACTAAAACATCCAGTCAGTCAGCTACAACGTAGGACCAGGCACATATGTGCATCGGTTCAGGTTGCCATACCTCATTAGCACAGCAAGATAAACACAGGATTCATAGGAGTGGTTAGGTCAAAAGTGTTAATATATAGGAGAAAGATTGCAATAAGGAAATAGTATAGGAAGAAAGAATTAGTTAGTAGAAAGAAAGATATGAAGCGATTTCAATCTCGCAGTTTAAGGGAAGATAGGGAGTGTATACACCGACGCCATCGTGATCGATTCTGAGCCATGTCACCAAGAGTCTCCAACCATTGGTTAAGACAGTCACGCGGACCCCAACCAAGTAGTCTGCACCTACCAACATAGCTCAGACTAGAAGTTAGTGACTTCAAGCGCTGATGCCACGTTTTGGTTTGGCCGCCCCTAACTTTCTTCCAACCATCTCTAACACCCGTTAGCATTGCACGTTGTGCTAATCAGTGTTCAGGCAAACGTAACACGTGGCCCAACCATCTCAGTCGATGAAGATTCACAACCTCATCAACTGATTTACCATCATTCCCTAATACCCTGCGTCTAACCTCACTATTACTTACCTGGTGATACCAACAGACGCCAGCAATATTTTTAAGGCATCTGTGGTCAAATACTAGTAGCTTACGGGTGTCGTCTACTCTTAAAGGCCATGTTTCGCTACCGTAAAGTAAAACAGAACGGACTGCCGCGCAGTATACTCGTCCTTTTATTGATAGACGGATATCTCGCCTTCGCCAAAGGTGACGTACGTTGGCAAAAGCCAAACGAGCTTTTCGAATCCGTGCTAAGATTTCGTCCGATACCAGCCCATTAGGGCTGATCAGACTTCCAAGATAAGGGAAGTTGTCAACGCGTTCGACTACTTCACTCCCTATGCTTAGTTCAGGTGTTGACACAGGCCAGTCCTGAAGCAACAACTTGCATTTAGAGGGAGAGAACCGCATTCCAAACATTCTGGCATTGTTGCTTAGTGCTACCAGAAGACTCTGCATTTTGTCAGCGTCTTCACCAAACAGGACTATGTCATCTGCGTATTCTAAGTCGATAAGTGGACCTCCCGGTAGGAGATCAATACGCGAGAATTCAGTCGACGAGAAAGTTATTTCCATCAGTAGGTCTATGATGAAGTTAAACAGAAATGGAGAAAGTGGACAGCCTTGACGTACACCACTTGAGGTTGCAAAAGTAGATGACAGTTCGCCATAAGCCCTGACTCGACTAGTAGTGTTCGAGTAAAGAGCCTTTACAAGGTTTATGTACTTCTGGGGTACGCCTTTCAATGACAGACACTGCCACAGAACCTCTCGGTCAAAAGCTGCTTCTAAGTCAAGAAAGACCACCATTGTCGGACGCCGATAAGTATGCCTGTGTTCTAGAACCTGACGAATGGTGAGTATGTGGTCGATGCAGCCAGCTTGGTTCTCTCGTGTTTGCAGTTTACAAGTCTTAGTTAGGCGTTTGATAATTAGTATTTTAGATACTATATTTGTTAAACTAATCCCTCTGTGGTTGTCACAGGATGATTTTGACCCCTTTCTTATATATTGGGATGATAAGTAATTGCGACCAGTCAGATAAGATAACGTCTAACTCCCAGATCTTAGCTAAAATATTAAGCAACCTAATCGCTAAAATTGGACCACCATCCTTAAAGACCTCTGGAGCCAATCCATCTGGACCAGCTGCCCTTCCTCGTTTCAGATTAACTATAGCCTTTTGAACTTCTGCTAGAGTTAGGGGACCTACTTCAATGTTCCACTCACATTGTCTGGGAATGGAGGGTAGTTGTAGAGTAGCTGAAGGTCAGCTGAACTGTTCTCTAAAATGTTCCGCCCATCGTTCTAAACGTCTGGACTGGGAGCAGATGAGAGTATCGTCTTTTTCCGAAATAATCTCACTTACATTTGTCTTATTAGTTCCAGTTTCTTTTATTAGTCTGTAAAGCTGTCTTGTGTTCCTATAGTTGCCGCCTTTTCCATCTCTTTTGGTTTCGTTACCCACCACTGCTCACGGTCGTTCCTTGGACTTTTTCTCAACATAGATGTGATTTCTTTACGCTCTTCATCATGTTCAGAACCTGATGGGACGAGTTTGCGAGAATCAATCAGCTTGATAGACCATGAAGAAATCCACTGGTTCTTTGTAACTCTGTGGTTTAAGTCACTAATAGATTTCATTGCTGTTTCAAAAGCTGATTGTATGCCTTTCCATGCAACATCTGGGTCAGCCTCGTCTTTAGAACAACCTGAGTGTGACCTCAGTTGTTCATGGAACCTACTTTTGGTTTTCTCGTTACTCAACTTAGTTCTAACGGATCTTTTTAGTGTGGCTTTTTTGCGTCCAGTGAGGCGCAAGCAGATGCATGCCCGTATTAGGGCGTGGTCGGAGTCCAAACAGGTACTCTAGAATGAGCGATAATCTTCTACCGACACCCTCCAACGATGACTGATGGCAATATGGTCTATTTGAGTTCATCGTTGGTTTTATTATTATTATTATTTGAACACATGAATATTGGTACAAGAGAGCGCCAATATATATGCGCCACACAAAACCATGAGAATTCGAAGAGGAATAGAAAGAAGAGAAAAAAACAAGGAGCGCAAAAAAAGAGAGAACAGTAACAAAGAGATTGGTGTAAGGTAATGTGCTAGTAATCAGGGAACGCAAAGGTACAATCGGAAGAAATCTTTCAGGTAAGAGAGACACAACCACTTTTTATGAAGAAAGTAAAAGAAGGTTACAGCAGGATCGCCACTGGCTTCTATTCTGAGCCATATCTGATAACGTCTCTAGCCACTGTGTAGCACCATCTCTCAGACCCCAACCAGGGAGTCGAGAAGGACCAACAGAAGCCAGTCCTTTGCAGCTTTCTTTCATGCCTCGACACCATGTCATGCACTGACCACCTCTCCGCTTCTTCCAACCAGTCCCAGAGTCGGCAAATAATGCACAATGTGGAATTCTCTGGGACGACATTCGGAGAACATGTCCAAACCACCGAAGTCGGTGTTTCAAGATGGTGACACCAATTGAATTATCATCTCTGTCCCCGAACACACGATGCCGAACCTCTGCATTACTGACATGGTGTTGCCACTGAATGTCAGCAATCCTTCGGAGACAGCGATGATCGAACACAGAGAGTCGTCTAACGTCCTCAACTCGGAGAGGCCAGGTTTCACAAGCATAGAGCAAAACTGCTCTCACCGACGCGTTGTAGATCCGACCTTTTGCAGTCAGACTAACATCACGAAGGCGCCAAAGGTGGCCCAGATTGGCATAAGCCGCTCTGGTTTTCACTATACGTGCATTGATCTCATCACTCACACCCCCACCAGCACTTATACAGCTACCCAGATACACGAACTTCTCGACTACGTCTATCTGCTCACCATCCAGGGTGAGTACAGGATTAGAATCCTGCCAGTCTTGTAGAAGCACTTTGCACTTCGAAGGTGCAAAGCACATACCATACCTACGGACACTGATTGCCAACTGATTAAGTGCAGACTGCATGCCTTGGGCATTATCGCACAGTAAGACAATATCGTCCGCATACTCAAGGTCGAGAAGTCTTTCTCCAGGCAACAGATCCACACCGCCATTACTTACATTCATCAGAGCTGTTTCCAGAATGTCATCGATGGCAAAGTTGAAGAGGAATGGTGAGATTGGGCAACCCTGCCTAACCCCACTACTCGAATGGAACAATGGAGAGAGGTGGTTGTATGCCCTCACTCTGCCTGAGGTGTTTGTATATAGGGCTTTTAGGATGTTAATATATTTCTCAGGCACACCCTTC